TAGGCTTTTGTATTGGAGGTAATCTTTTGCTTTCTCTATGTATAGCTTCAAGAGTTTCAATATGCATATGAACAACACCAGGAACCATTTGATGTAGGCATCTTACATGTTCAGCACTTACACCTCCTTCAGTACAAACACGATCTACAAATCGTGAAACCATTCGAATAACAGCACTACCAGTTTCTCCAGGATCAGTTTCTTCAAAACCAGATTCTGCATCACCACTATCACTTGCTACACTATTTGTAATACTATTACTTGCTCTTTCATCATCATAAATATTATCTTGGCGATGAGTTTTTGCTCCTATATCTAATGGTACTAATAGATAAACCATTCTATTTGCATAATGAATTGCTTGACTATACATAGTACTTTCTTCACTTGCAATAAGTTCTTTTTGTTTTTCTGGATCGATTGTTGGCCAAATTCTCATTTGTTCAGCAGCTATTTCAAGAGCTGATGGCTCTTGAATTTGATAAATTGAATATCGATCACGAAATGGAAATTCTTTGCCATCACGTGGACTAATAGGACTTAAAATACCATCATTTATAAGTCGTGGTGGAGAATTTTCACCAGGAAGATATAAACGTTTAATGTCTTTTTGAACATCTAAATAAAAAGCATCTTCCCAAAATTGTTGATTTTGCCATACAGGATGTTCTTGAATACAGGTATATGCAAATTGAATTACTCCTGTGCAAAGTTTTCTACAAAATGCTGTAGCAAGAGGAAGAAGTGCAGCAGCAACTCCATGCTCATCCATAGATGAATCATCTTGTAATGCACAATTCATTAATCGAACTACAAGATCAAATTGTTGATGTTCTAACATGGCTTTATTTCCCACAACATGCTGTGATAATTCCATGCAAAGTGCTAAACGAGCAGCTTTGCTTTTCAAAGCTCTTAAAACAGCTGGAAATGTCTTACGAGCATCAGATATTTTATTCTCAAATATACAATTTATACAATTACGCAGAACTTCCAATCTACGTGCAGAATTGCTAACCAAATGTCTAGTATCATGAACAAATGAAATATGTGGACCCATAGGTACAATACGAGGTTGTGATGGTCTTAATGATGATAATCTATAAAATATTATATATAAATATAAAATTTCAAAGAAATAATACATACATACATACATATGTATATATATATATATATATAATATTATATTATATTATTATATTTAAAATAATATATATATATAATAATTTATATAAAATATATATTTCCAATACACACCTAACTTTAAGATTATTTTTTGTAAGACCTTCATCTATAATTGCTTGAACTTGTTCTGGATTAATGCGTGGTAAAAGCGGCTGATGTATTCTAGCAAATGCTCCTTCAGGTGGCTTTAAAATTTTTTGTACATATGGTTGAGGATTTGGATTTTCATTTGTGTATAATTGTTGTGCTAATTCTTGAATATGTGTTAAAACAAGCCCTAATATCGAAATGATACTTATTGTATATAAATATTTTATTTAATTTATAATAATTATATATTATTTAATATATTTATTTATTAATTACATATAATTATTACTTACTATGATCTTGTGCTTCTTGCTTTAATTGATCACTTAAATTATTATATAATTCATCCCATACATCACAAGGCCTCCATGGTGGTCCCCTTTCTGCAATAAAGGAAGTAAAAAACATGCAATCCAAAACTCTAGTTGTAAAATCACAATCGGTCAAGCCACGTTCTCCTAAGAAAGCTGCCTAAAAATAAAAAATACAATTTATATATTTCTCTTTTATTTTTGTATATTACAAAATTGTATAATAATTAAAATCAAATAATAATTAAAAACCTTATGAAATGTTATGACTGGCTTTGGATGAATTCTTATTAATGTTAAACAACTTCTATATCCTTGTAATAATTGTGCAAATGTTCTCATAAAAACTGCTCGTAATTCTTTATCCAGCATAGGAGAATGAGGAGCTCTTGTTGCAAGTGGTGGAAAAGCATAATCTGCACAACTTAATTCTGGTTGTAATACTAGAGATAATGCATCTTGTGTTTGTGAGAGAAGTGGTTCTGGAAGTAATGAAAGTGAAACTCCATCTGGAACCATAATAGAACCTCCATCCAAATCAGCAACTATTACATCCATCTATAAAAGGATATATTACTTAATAAAATATATAATTTATATTATAATATATATAATATATATATGATAATATATATTATAATAAAAAATAATATTGTACAAAGCTTTACTAAATATCTTACAAGTTCTGTAACTTCATGTTTTAGTGAACTATGTACACCCATAATAAATGGAGTAGGTGTACTGAGTACTTCAACTAAAGCTGCTGGTAAAAGAGGAATGTAAACATGTGTGTATCTAAATGGATACATTAATGCAGTAAGAGCACGACATCCTTCAGTCAACCGTGAATAACTTGCAGAATGAAAAAGTATTTTATGTTCTGTCATAACAGCACAAAATAATACTAATACATTACGGATTCCTAAAATGCAAATGTAATTTAATAAAAATATCTGAAAATATATTTATAATAATTAATATATTTATAATAATAGTTATTTTATTTTTACCTAGTTGTTGAAATAAAAGATTAACGCTACTGTGTGTTATTGGAAGAGAAGGACTAATTGGAGGCTGAAGTGCTTGACGATCACCTGCACCAATACTAAATCTTACTTGTGGTCCACCAGCAGGTGGTACTTGTATACAACCTAATATGTTTCCTACTAGAGTTTCTAATGGTATTCCAAGATTTTCTACATACACAGTATATATAATACCAAGGCAATTCTAAAATGTTAATATAAAAATAAAATTTGTATTTTTAAAATTAATTATAATTTTAACATAAATAAAATATACATACTCTGAAAGTTTCAATATAATCAAGTCTGGAAACCAGCACCAGACATTTAGGTGCATACATAATGCTGTGATGTGCAATTGTAGGTATTGTTCTAACTAAAGAACGACTATCACCATCTACAGGATCTTCTTCTTCATCTACAGGTTTACTTGGCAAAATAGATATTGTTTCATTGAAACACATACAAGCACAATAATGACGATTTGCATCAATGTCAGTTAAAATAGATACAAAAAATCGTGGTTCTTGTCTTTCTGTAGATAAGGCCCATCCTTGTGGTTGACAAAACTGTAAAATAAAATTCATTACAAAAAAAATTATAAAACATGAAAATATAATAAAAAAATCTTACCCATTCTATGCCTTCTATAAATGGTGTATCTGGCCAATCTTTTTCTGGAAATCTTTGTAAAATAATTCCATTACTTATACCACCTCCTATAAAAATAAATAATATATATATATATTAAACTTTTATTACTATATTTCAATAAATTATATTTCTTTATAATAAAAATTTTCTTAAATAAAATTATATGATATAAATAATTATCATACAAATAAAAAATCATTTTTATTTAATATAATTAATATAATTTTTTTTTATTATTATTATTAAATTATATATTTGTTTTATTTAATATGTATTTAGTTTATATTTATATATATTTTATATCATTGATTATCATATTGATTATAAATTTATATTTGACATTTTTTAATAAATTTATAAATAATTATATATATATTATATATTATATATTATAAATAATTATATATTATTGTCATATATTAAATGCTTATCAGTTATGTATGTTAAAATTATAGATATATTTTTAAAATGTAATTTTAATTAAAAACTAAAAACTTACTCTCTTTTTCGTGGTCGTAGCCGACCACAACAAAGTAGTCGGCTAGCCGAGACATTTCGGTATACTCGTGGGAGTTCGTGGGGGTGATAGCGCCCAACATCCCACGTAGACTTTAATACACGTGATTTCATGGACCGTATTCTACCAAGTAACAATCAACTACCTTGTGTCAATGTTATACATAAATACACATCAATATGCAAATTAATTGGAAAATATTATAAACATTTTTGAATTTATATATTCTCATTCAAATAATATAAATTTTTATTTAAAGCACTGAAAACGTAATATTGTTGTAAGTACATTTAAAAAATTTTGTTCCATTTAAGAAACAAATTTTAGACGGTGGTTGAAATTTTACTAGCGTCACACGCACCGTTGAAAACAGATACTTCACATTCATCACATTTAAAAAATAAATTTATCCGTCATCATAAAAGTATACAATATTTTATTTATTTTATAAAACACAATATGATGCCACACCCCGAAGCTTTAATCCATAACCTTCCAAACTCAAGCGCCACATTGAGTGTTTGTTGAACCGCGTACGAACTAAAACGCGCCACATATATACAAACGAAGAGACAAATGCGCTGCAATTCACATTTAATTTTACTTTTTTTGTCTTCTGCTTGGGTCACTGAGAAAACTTTAAATCTGAAAACATACGCATTATTAGAAACGTTACTTCGATGTAACTTCGTTACTTATAGCGCGTTCATAGTGATATTATTGCACAAATAATGTATGTATATTAATTTACATATGTGCTATTTTATTAAATTTATATTAAATAATTCTGTATTTAATATAAAAATATAAATTATATAAAAAAATTATATATAAATGTAATAATGTAAAATTTAATATTTTTGAATCCATAAAAACTTTCATATAAATAATTTTTTTCTGTATATTATATTTGTATATCAAATTAATTATAACTATTTAAAATAAAAGAATAAATATATTTCATATATTTTTAAGATTTAATTTAAATTTAATGTAATATTTTATATCACAAATAAAAATATGAATAATCTTTACATAATCATAGTATAGTAATCATGATATAGATTGTATCTTTAAACGATACTTAACCTTAAAGTTGTCACATGAAATAGTTTGATAAAAAAAAAAAGAAATTAAGATAAACAAATTAAATATTTTCTAAAATCAGTTTAATAAAAGAATCTATTTTTTATAATCAATTTATTTAAAAAAATTAAATACTTTCAAGAATTAAAAATATTTAAATTGTAGATTAGGAATATAAATTTTTCAAATTTTATAAAGTTTTAATTTTAATGAGATGAATATTTCTCAAATATTTTTGAAAATTGCTACAGATGAAAAAGTAGGATTTGCTATTGCAACATTAATAGGTTATTGTTTATATAAAATAATGTTAATAATTAATAAAAAAAAATTGCAATCTTCTAGCAATGAAACATTAAATATGGTAATTAAAGCTAAAATTTACTTATATTTGATTTAAATATAAATAATAAATATAATAAAATAGTTTTTATTTTCAACAGATATTTTCGGATAATTATAAGCTTATTTTAATTATTAGAACTGACTTAAAAATGGGAAAAGGAAAAGTAGCAGCACAATGTGCTCATGCTGCTATTGCAGCTTATAAAGCAGCTGTAAATTATCCTAGAATTTTAAAAGCTTGGGAAAAATGTGGCCAAACCAAAATCACAGTTAAGGTATATATATTTTTTATATAATATTATTTTTTATATTTAAATAAATATTAGCAAATTTAAAACATTTTTAGGTTGACAGTGATGATGCTTTGAAAGAAATAGCAAAACAAGCCAAAGCTATAGGACTTTTGACAAATATAATACAGGATGCTGGACATACTCAAGTGAAACCAGGAAGTAGAACAGTATGTGCAATTGGTCCTGGTCCAGCTGAATTAATAGATCAAGTAACAGGACATTTAAAATTGTTTTAATAATTTACTAAATAAAGGTATCTTATTTTTTACCTAATTTTTAAGTGTATTTTTTAACTTTCTAAATTATTTAATTAATTATTTAAATGAATCTATCTATCAATGTATTAATTAAACATTTTTATGGATTTTGATGATTTTTATGTAGTAAAAATCATCAAAAAAATTTTAAATAAATAAATATATATATAATTGTCAATCAACTTTACTTTTTGAATTATTTACAAAATATCATTGAATTTCATTTGTATATATGTCCATAGCAATGTATCTAATGCTTTCATTACTTATATATCATAATGGAAAATATCCAAAATATTTTACATTTATTATTTATTGTTATTTCAATCATTATTTCAATTGCAAGAGTTATTTTATATTTTATTCTTGTTTTTAATGAATAAATATTCTAGTTATTTTTATGGAAACTTCAAATGCTCAAGCTGTTCAAGCTTCAAATCAGTAAAACTGATTGATTATATATATATATATATAAAGTTATTTAAAATCTTGTCTTTTATAATATATTTAAATATTATCAAAATCTATAAACTTATCATATATCATTTTATTACTAAATAGTATATATAATAAATATTATTAAATTATAATTAAATTATATTAATAAATATTAATTTTATTACTGAATTTATTTTTATTATATATATATATATATATATATATATGCTTTTTATTTATACTATAAAAAATAAGTATAATAATTTTATAATAATAATAAGTTGATGATAAGAATAAATACATATATGTAATTTATATAAAATTATATTCTATTAAAAAATACGATAATATATTTATCAAAAATGAAAAAATATAAATTTTAATAATTTGTACAAATTTAAATATGTTATCTATTTGAAATGTTATTTCAGTTATAAGTTACAACATATATATAGTAATAAATTTCATTTAATAAATTTAAATATAACATTATACATAAACAATATATATTCAAAATATATTCATTTTTATGCTAATATAATACATTTTTGCATTAATACATTATTAATATATTATAGCATTAGGTGCCATTGTAATAACAATACATTATTAATATTGAATTTTATTAATTATTAGTGTTAAGCAAATGGTATTTATCAATTGATTTTTAAATTGGAAAACATATAAATTAAAAATACATAAGTAATGTATTTTCATATAACATCACATAACAAAATAAAAAATTATCATAAATTATTTCCAGTTTTGATCACAAAATATTAAAAATTTGTTTCCAATAAAATATTCCATTCTTTGGTACCTCGTGCTATTATTCTCATTTAAAATATCATTTAATATTTATAAATACATAAATAATCTACACTGGAGGAGGAGGTGCTTTTCGATGTATTTTGTTAGAACTGGTAGCACTACATTGTGATTCAGCAATAGATCTACCATCAGCTTCATCTCTTCGACATAATTCTGATTCATTTTGTATCCAATTTTGATTTTGATTATGATTTGTTCGCGTTGATTGATTTTCTTCATTTCCAGAAACAGAACTTACTTCTCCTAATAACTTTGATAAAGATGGTGCCAATCCTAATCCCAAATTTCGCTCATGATATACTTCTGAAATTGTAGGTGTTAATTCACGAGTTAAACTAGTAAGAGATGTGGCTACATTCCTTAAATTTTGATTATGTGTTTCTGTAGATTGTGTAGAATCAGTTTGAGAACAAATATCTTCAGTTGTTGTTGGATGACGAGGTTTCCTTGGAGAATTTGATCCAATTTCTGTTCTAACACTTAATCTTTCTAGTACTGTTGCTGGTAAAGGTGGTAATGGTTGTCGTCTTAAAACTGTTGCATGACCATTATCCCAATCTGTTACTGAACTGCTTGAACTAGATCCTGGTCTTATGCTTTGATCAGGATAAAGATTTCTGATCCGTGTTTGATGATTTAAATTAAGTGCTACAGGAGGACTAGGAGTAAAAGCAACATCTGATTCACCTATAAAATATCATATACATGTAATTTTATGCTTATGTTTATTTAAATTCTCAGGTTGAATTATTTGTTTTTATTGTATACCTCCACCATTTTGACATGGTTGTCGTGATGTAGGAATTGGAACATTTGGTGGTTCCATAGTTTTACCATCTGGTTCACCTCGATGTCGAACATAATTTGCAAATGCACCTCCTAATCTAGGTCTTTCTATGACATTTTTTTCAATATGAGTAACAGAAGCTAAACTTTCCATTGAGCTACTAGAATCTAAAGTCAAACTTTTAGGTGCTTCTTGTGTATCTAATAACATAATTATGATTTAAATAATAAAAATATTTATTTACTTATATAATCAATAAAAATTTACCAAATAAAGCTAGAAGAGCTTGAAGAGCAAATTGAACAGCTCTTCGTGATGCTTGTTTTCCTGTTCTTAATGTAACTTCTGATTGACCAACTTCCATGAGATCAAAGCCTAAACTTGCAAATAATTCATGAGATCCTGATGCTCTCCATACTTGAACTGGTAATGTAACTTCTTGACCTTCTGTTGCGCATGTAGCTCTTCTCATTGCAGCAATAACATCTTCTGCTGCTTCTGGTGCCTAAAAGAAGGAATATCTTTAATATAATAAATTATATTAAATTTATATTAATTAAACTTTTGAATATGCACATTTATATATTACCTGCAATAATCTAGCAAGTGCATGTAACGATGATGGTCCTAATCCTAATAATGCTTGCAAACTTGCACTACATCTTGTTAATCTTTCTTCAGGATCGCTTTGTGGAAAAAATACAGAAGATGGTATTCCATTTCCAGCAGGTTCAAATCTAAAACCTACTGACATTAAAAGTTCTCGCCAACCGGTGGCAGCACCTACTTTATTTTCAATGCTACGTTGTGTTGTATACATAGCATTTTTTTGACCACGATGTATTCGTTGTAATGATTTTTCTACTAAATGAAGTGTAACACGTAATGCATCACGACTTTGTTCAGGACCTCCGCGTAATAATTCAGCAAGTGCTTGTCCCATTAAAGCAACCTAAATACATTTTATAAATAACTATTTGCTAAATCTAATAAATTTTTTCATAATTTATACCTTATTTGATAATCTTGCATCTCCTCCAATGAGTAACCATCCAGCCCAATTTGCAGGATGTGCAAAATGTCTTGTATGTTGAACTGTTTGCATAGCTTCTGCCAATGCTCTTGACGCTCTAGCACCTTGTAACATAGCACTATAAAATGCTCGTAATAATATACTACCAGCTGTAGGTGGAACCGCCCACATTCCTATAAGTACACATTGTGCTCCTGCATTTAATAAAGCTTTGGCTAAATTTTGTACACCATCTGATGTAGTAGTTGTATTTTCTGTACTATTCCAACCATGACCACTAGATATTACAACTAAACGAGCAGATATTCTTAATTTTGTAATATCTGAATAACTTAGCAAATATTCTGGTCTTACAGAAGAGTCTTCACAAGGATCTGCAGTTAATGCTAAACTAGCAGAATTCCAGAAAACTGGTACTGTCAAGTGTACGCATTCTGCATCAGGTAAAGATCTTAAAACAGTTGATCTTGTTGCTTCTGTACCTAAATAATAAAAATGAAAAAAAAAATTTATTTCTATTTTTTTTTAATTTCTTAAATTCATATTGATATCTACCGGTTAAAGCACGAGCTTCTAATAATTCAGCAACTATTTCAGATTCTGTTTCGGTTGAAGTAACGCTTTCAGACCATCCATATTCTTCTCTAATTTCTTCAGGAAGCACAGGATTTCCTGCAACTAGTGCAGCTACTGTTGCTCCTCCCTCTGGCATAGGAGTTTTTGACCGCTTTTTTAAAGCTGCTAGAGATGGTACCACTAATAAAGAAAATCTTTCACATAAATAATCTTCTCCAGGATTTGATTGTAAAGCTGGAAGTGGAGCTAAATATAATGATTTCTCCACTACCATAATTAATTCTTTTCTTGCAGGTGGTAAAAGATCTTCAAATGGTGCTAAAAGTAAATCGTAGAGTACTTGAATTGGTAATGGTGATTGCCATGTAGGTCCTTTGCTTCCTCGTCCCCATCGAGCACTTCCTGCACGTGAACTAATTGAACCCACACTAAATAAACTGCTCAAACTATATGAACTAGCATTAAGATGATGTCCTCTTGATGGTATTTTTGTTTCTTCAACAAGTTCATTTGTTTCCTCTAAAAGAGCTTCTCGTGCTTGTAAAACTCGTTTCTCTAATCCTATACCATCATCTAAACTAGTGGAATGAAATCGCAATAATCCTCGACCAGGTGCTAAGCACCAAGCATGTAATTCACATCCTACTTCACTGAAATATGAAATTTATTGATCATTTTATAATATCATGGTTTATTTATATTATTTATTTATATAAATATAAATTACCTATAATATAAAATAACTCCACGTTGTCTATCAATAATTTCGGAATAATGCGCAGCATCATCCAAACAATTACTTTTATTTCGTCTCGATCTTTCTGCCCAATTTAAAGCTTCTTCAGCTCTATTTAAACTAATTAGTACTTTTTGTAACATTCTGTATGTCTCTGATAATAATTCAGATTTATTTGGTTGTCCACAAGTAAGAGTTGAAGAAATTCCATCTAATGATTCTAATAAATTTGCTGCTTTTTCTAAATGTTCTACAGCAATAATTGCCTCTCCAGCTTCCCAATGAACAAGACCAAGTCTATGTCTCAATCTAGCTGCTTCTTCTCTTCTTCCTAATCCTTCAGATAAAGATAATCCAGATTGTAAATAACTCAAAGCTCGTGATAAATCGCCACATAAATGATGAAGTCGACCTAAACTAGAAAATGCAGCTGCTCTTGCCGGTTGATCTCCAGCTGCTGCTGCAAGACTTAATGATTGTTCTTGTAACCTTATTGCTTCTTCAAATTGTCCTAAAGCTTCTTGAGTTATACCTAAATTTGCACAAGCTCTAGCTTGTAATCCAGCTGCATCTAAAGCTTCAGCAATTGAAAGTTCCAATTGGTGATGTCGTAAT